AGTGAAGCAAATCTGGAGCTGAAACTTCTGCCTTTGTCCCAGCAACCACAACTGCCACAGGTTGGAGCCCCTGCAATTCAAAGCAGAGCAGAGGCAAAGGCACAGAAAAAAATCATAAATATGCAACATCCTCCAGGCTTTAAGGAGGGTTTCATCAGGAAAAACTCTTTTTTTTTTGGCTGCAGCGGGAGCTGCAAGGGTTTGGGAATGAAGGCAGAACTAGAGGAGTAAAGGGACAAGGCAGCTGCAGGTATAAATATGATTTTGTTGTATAAATATGATTTTGTTGCACATACAAGAGGATTTAGGGTTTCTTCTGTTTCCACAGGGTATCAGCGCTCAGAAAAAAACAGCTTGTAATTGTAGGAGCAAACTGAACAGCTAACAAGAAAAACAAGCTTGAAACCAAGAAAAAATCAGTCAACAAAACGATGCTGGAAATGCCAAAACAGCCTGGGCAGAGCTGCTGATGGCACCTCCGGAGATCTGCGCTTCCTGAAGCTGCAGTGCATTCCTGACTCTCCCAGCAATGCATGCCCTGCACAAAGCTGCAGCCTGCAGGTGTTATTCACCTTTGCAGGCTGACCCACAGGAGATCTCCTTGGGAATCCAATGGCTGCAAATCTACTTACAGAAACATTCTGACCTTTGAACCAGCCGGGGAGGGATGAAGCTTTCTCAGCCTTAACCATTCTGTGATTGTGCCACTTGAAGCTCAGATTCTACGACTTGAGGCTCGGTGCTGACATTAAGAAGCTGGCAGGGAGGAGATCAGAAAAACTGCAGCACTTCAGGTGGGAGATCTGGGCAGGATCTCCCACCAAAATCCTTCTGCACCAGCCCATGGAAGCACAGAACCTGGAATTCCACAGATCATTAATCCAAGGAATATTCCCTTGGCAAGCACTTCTTCTAGTTCATATCTATTATGTTGGTAAAACCTGACTATCCCCAAATCCGGTGAATTTAGGAAGCTTGGTGATGCTGTTTCTTACCTAAACACCAATAAATGCCCAAATTCAGTGAATTTAGGATGCTCAGTGATGCTGTTTCATACCTAAACACAAATAAACTCCTAAATTCAGTGAATTTAGGATGCTCAGTGATGCTGTTTCTTACCTAAACACAAATAAACTCCTAAATTCAGTGAATTTAGGCTGCTCAGTGATACTGTTTCTTACCTAAACACAAATAAACTCCCAAATTCAATTTCAGGAAGCTCAGGGATGCTGTTTCATACCTGAACACCAAAAATCCCCAAATTCAGTGAATTTAGGAAGCACAGGGATGCTGTTTCATACCTGAACACCAATACATTGAAATTCCAGCCAGAGCTCTCCATCTAATCCCACCCCAGTGATGTCACCGAGTTCTTTGAGATGTCTGTCAGTGCCTGGATCCCAAAAACCCACGGTGATAAAAGTCCCAAAACTCAGTGATGAGCGACAGGACATTGGAAAAGCAAACACAGGCAGCTCCAGCCCCCCAGACTGCTGCTGGGAAAGGGCAGAATTTGGAATTTTCAACACAATCCCCACCTCTTAAATCCTGTCCTGTGCTTTTGGCAGATGCTTGTGGGATTTTGCTGCGCTCTGGGAGATGGGAAGTACCTAAACCTGGTACTTTAGTGCCCTTCTAGACCCCAAATCCAGCTCCTTTCCTCCAGTTTGTTCGTGTGGGAGGGAGATCAGCCAAACTGGGCAAGCACAGCCCCCAAAATCAGGGTTTGCCCACTGAACTGTGTGGGTTTTTTGTGGGATTCAGCCAAAGGGTGTGACCTGACCCCCAAAATTCGGGGTTTGGCCAATGAACTCTGTGGGGTTTTTTGTGGGATTCAGCCACAGTGTGTGACCTGACCCCCAAATTCAGGGTTTGCCCACTGAACTCTGTGGAGTTTTTGGTAAGATCCAGTCAAAGGGTGTGACCTGACCCCCAAATTCAGGGTTTGCCCACTGAACTGTGTGGGGTTTTTTGTGGGATTCAGCCACAGTGTGTGACCAGACCCCCAAATTCGGGGTTTGCCCAATGAACTCTGTGGGTTTTTTTGTGGGATTCAGCCACAGTGTGTGACCAGACCCCCAAATTCGGGGTTTGCCCAATGAACTCTGTGGGGTTTTTTGTGGGATTCAGCCAAAGGGTGTGACCAGACCCCCAAATTCGGGGTTTGCCCAATGAACTCTGTGGGGTTTTTTGTGTGATTCAGCCACAGTGTGTGACCAGACCCCAAATTCAGGGTTTGCCCAATGAACTCTGTGGGGTTTTTTGTGGGATTCAGCCTCAGTGGGTAACCAGACCCCAAATTCAGGGTTTGCCCACTGAGCCCTGTGGGATTTCTGTTTGGTGACAATGAGGACACACCAACCAGGCCAGGCAGAGCTGCTGGGGCAGGGATTTGCTCCAGCTGTGAGAGAGATTTTTTAGGAGAAGTCTGCCAAGGCTTAAGTCATGTCTAAAGCAGGTTTGATTTAAAGCAAGTCCCGCTGTATCTTAATCCGTAACGAAAGTTTTACCAGTCCCAGGAGAGTTTCCCTGCTAGGTGAAGGATATTATTACTTTTGCTATTAAATAAGGTTGCTGACACAGTGGTAATCTCCATTTTCTTGGAGACTCCAGGTTCTTTTCAGCCACGCTTAAACTTAATTGTCCCTGGTGTTTTTTCTCTTAGCAGCTGGGAATGATTTCCACGCCAAGCCAGGGCAGAAATTCCAGTGCAGGAATTCCTGGATCTGACACAGGAGCCTCTCTGCAAACACACCTGAGGCTAAGGGTGAAGAGAATTATTTGGGAGAGGGTCACTGCCAGACAAATGGACTTTTTATGAAGAATATTCTTCACCAAAGCCTTGCTGGCTGACAGAAGAGCCAACTCCCATGGGATGAGGTGCAGGGGAGCCCCAGGCAGATGCAGACAGATGTGCAAAAATCTTCCTAAACACAGTGTTCTCTCAGAAGCACAGCTTCTAATCAAAATAAAACAACTGTCAGAGCACTCAGGAATAGTATGAAATGCTGACTGTAAGTGTAAAAAAAGACAGGACCGAGAAGCCACCATCAAAGGTCACAAATTCACACTGATTTCCCCTCCCTCAGTGGTTAAAACAATAAAACATCCACCTTAGAATCCACAATTAGCACAAAATAAATGGTCCCACCAACTCTTGGGGTGATTTGGGATTTCCAGGCAGGATTTTCCTGCCAGACTCCCTTCCAGCCATCCTTTCCCAACCAGATATAATTTCCTAAATATCTCAAATACCTGCATGAAGCACAGGGAGCTTTTGTAAGTCAGTTTGGAGGGAAAGCTGGAGAAGAATGCACCTGGAATTCCATGAATGTGCTCCAGGAGCAGGACACACTCAGCAGCATTCCCACACCCAGGGGTGATGTTTGCCTGTAAAACTCTCACATCTCCGCTGCACCAACAGCCAGCATCGCTTGGCTTGTGTTTGTCAACTCCAACTTGATTCAAATAAATTCCTGACATAAGAGATGCAGATTTTCCTCCAAGATTTGAAAATAAAATCTTATTTCTGTACCTTGCAAAGTGATTTATTCCCCACGTGGCCTAAGTGAAAAATTAGTTATCCACTAAAACTTTGCTATTAATTAGCTCCAAATGAGCTAACACTTCAAGAGATGAGATTATGCACTCAAATATACCCAAACTATCCCCTTTTTTCTCCTCATTTGTCCCATTTTCTAGGATGGAGCACAGGAGACAGACGACATCATCCCTGACTATTATTCTGGTATCTCAAGAAGGTTTAATTAAGAGTCATATTAAATTTGGATACTGAATTGCAGAGTGCTGAACAGCAGGGTGAAGGCAGTACATAATTGAATCTCATTTCCCTGAAAAGTAACCAATGGCTCTGCTAATGCCCCAAGAGAGGAAAAACTGCAAAACTGGAGTGATCAGCTCACGATTCACAACAGAAAAGGGAAAAAATCATGAAAAGCAAAATGGAGTATGACAAAAATTCATGTGTTTTTTTTGTTTGTTTTTTTTTTTTTTTTTTTTTTAATTTGAGGCAAAATTCCCTTCAAGAAATGAATTCCCAAGGTTGGAGCTCAGGCTTGGTCAGTGGTACCAAGGGCCAGGATCAGCCTGGTCACATCCATCCCACAGGAGGTTTTTGGGAAAAACCTCCACTAACAGCTCCAAAACAGCTAAAAATGGGGGAAAGGAGTGGGAAAAGGGAAAAAAGAGGAAGGGGGAAAGGGGGAATAAAGAAGAAGGGGGAAAGGGGGAAAAAGAAGGGGGAAAGGGGGAAAAAGAATAAGGGAGAAAGGGAAAAAAGAAGAAGGGGAAGAGGGGAAAAAAGAAGGGGAAGAGGGAAAAAAGAAGGGGAAGAGGGAAAAAAGAAGGGGAAGAGGGAAAAAAGAAGGGGAAGAGGGAAAAAAGAAGGGGAAGAGGGAAAAAAGAAGGGGAAGAGGGGAAAAAAGAAGGGGAAGAGGGAAAAAAAAAGGGGAAGAGGGAAAAAAAAAGGGGAAGAGGGAAAAAAGAAGGGGAAGAGGGAAAAAAGAAGGGGAAGAGGGAAAAAAGAAGGGGAAGAGGGAAAAAAGAAGGGGAAGAGGGAAAAAAGAAGGGGAAGAGGGAAAAAAGAAGGGAAGGGGGGAAAAGGAAGGGAAAGGGAAAAAGGGGAAAAGAACTATGACACAAGCTAAAATATCAGGTATGGGAAGTGCTAATTGATCACTAAAAGATTCCCCTTCCCAAAGGAAATGGAATGCTGAGAACAAACCCCTCTGCAATGCCCTGGCCCAACAGGCTGTGCCCCTCTAGCAGCTCTGCAATAATAATTAATTACTGCCAGCAATTAGCCTGAGTGTGGTCACAGCAATCAGCCCTGGAGTTCCCACTGCGAGGAAAGGATTCCACCAAGCACCTCCATGGAAAAAGGCAAATTGCAAAGAAAATCCTGCATTTCTTTATTTCCTAAGGTCTTCAAAGCCAGGCACAGCAATCACCTCAGGCAGCAAAGTACACAGTTCTCTTTATTTTTGTTTTTTAAGCAGCCATATGGCAATAAATCATCAAGATTAATTAAAAGCTTGCAGGATCATGAGAAATTGTCTTTTTGCATTCTGTTTTTATGATATTTAAATACAGGATTTGCACCTCTGAGATGTTTTTCCACTGTATGAGTTAAGAATTGGATTGTTACATTAGAAGAATTGCTGCCCCTTTTCTATTTTATAGAAGCACCTACCTGTGAATCCACAGGGTCGGGGTTTAGGTACCAGCACCAAGAAACTCCTGTTCCCACGAGTCTGGAATGATTTACTTATTGCAATATATTTTTTATGTGGTAGAGAATTTGTGTTTACATCCCATATTGACAAAGATTAACGTGCTAAAATATAGTTTATGATTAGAGAAAGCAGCAAAAAAAAAAAACAAAACCAAACTTCTGTGATGTGAATGCAAGCCCAGGTGAAAATCCTGGCAGGGAGAAGTTCAGCTCCCATTGAAAAAATTCATAATTTATTTACTTATTATAAATAAATAAATCTATCTATCTATATTTATAGTATAGAATTTATACTTACATCACATTCTGACCAGAAATTAAGGTGATAAGATGTATTTTATGATTAGAGAAATCAGCGAAATAAGTTCTGTGATGTGAATGCAAGCCCAGGTGAAAATTCGGGCAGGGAGAAGTTCAGCTCCCACTGAAAACCTCCTGTCCTCACAGAATTGCAATTTATTTATTTATTACAAATGATAAATACATAAAATAAAGCTAATAAATAAATATAATGAATAAATCCTGTATTTATGGTACATAATTTATATTTACATCCCAACCTGACTCAGATTAAAGCACTAAATTATACTTTATGATCAGAGAAACGAGCAGCAGAAGTTCTGGGAGGTGAATCCAAGGCCAGGGGAAATCCTGCCAGGAGTGCCGGGATCCCAGCCTGAACCCCAAATCCCAGCCTGAACCCCAAATCCCAGCCTGAACCCCAAATCCCAGCCTGAACCCCAAATCCCAGCCCGAACCCCAAATCCCAGCCTGAACCCCAAATCCCAGCCCGAACCCCAAATCCCAGCCCACACCCAGGAGTTCATCTCCAGCCTGGGAGTTCCTCCCCAGCCCCGGATCCAATCCCAAACCCTGATCCCAGCCCTGGGATCCCATTCTCAGCCCCTGATCCCATCCCAAATCCCTGATCCCATCCCAAACCCCAGATCCCATCCCCAGCCTGTGAGTTCATCCCCAGCCCTGATCCCAGGCCTGGGATCCCATCCCAAACCCCGGATCCCATCCCCAAGCCTGGATTCCACCCCAAACATAGGATGTCATCCCAAACCCCGATCTCATCCCAAACCCCAATCCCAGCCCAAACATGGGATCTCATCCCAAACCCCAGATCCCATCATAAACCTGGATCCCATCCCCAGCGTGAGAGCCCATCCCCAGGATCTCATCCCCAGCTCTGGATCCCATCCCAAACCCCAGATCCCATTTCCAGCCCCAGATCCCATCCCAAACCCCGGATCCCATCCCAAACCCAGGATCCCATTCCCAGCCCCGGATCCCATCCCAAACCCTGGATCCCACCCCAAACCCTGGATCCCATCCCCAGCCCAGGATCCCATCCCAAACCCTGGATCCCATCCCCAGCTCCAGATCCCACCCCAAACCCCGGATCCCATCTCCAGCCCTGGAACCCAGCCCAAACTCGGGATCCCACCCCAAACCCTGATCCCACCCCAAACCCCAATCCCACCCCAAACCCAGGATCCCACCCCAACCCCGGCAGAAGGCGGCCCAGGACCCCGATCGAGCTCCCTGCCTTCCTCACCCCCAGCAAGGAGGAAGAAAAAGGTTTGGAATGAAAAGGCAGCCCAAGATGCATCTGATCCCAACCCCACAGTCCTATCTCACCCCTCAAAATCTGGCATTTTCTGTCCTTGCAGCTTCCAGAGCTGTCCGTGCCAGAAAACGGCATTTTTATGTGTATTAGCAGAGTGTTACCTATAGGCTCAAGCATGCAGCGAGGAGGAAATTCTATATATTCTGTATGCAATATTTTCCTGGCCCACACGGAGCCCAGCAGGGCCTTTAGGAACATTTTCCCAGCACTCTGGCACATGCTGAGGACATTGCTTGGTGGGAAGAGGGAGATTTCATTCCCCCAAGCCACCAGCTCACCCTCCAGACGCTTTTCCTTACAGTCAGACTGAACCAAATTCATTTATTCCCACAATAACCCCTGCCCTGCATGGAAACAAACCCCTGGATGGAATGAGGGGTTTTTAGAAGCCAAGTTTCAGCCACACCTCGGATTTCAAATCCGTGCAAACCACTGCAAGTGAACTCCACCAGGATCCTGCATTCACTGGGAATAAATCAGGACCCAAAGAGAAAATTCTGATAGCAAAACGATCAAAATCCCAACCCAGGCAGAGAGTCAGAGCTGCAGTTTCTGATTTAAGTATTCCCTCACTTTTCCAAGCCTTCCTCCCCCCCATTCCCATCTTTCTCAAACATTCCCCCACTTTTCCAAGCCTTCCTCCCCCCATTCCCATCTTTCTCAAACATTCCCCTCACTTTTCCAAGCTTCAGCCACGAGAATAAACCAGGCTCCAAAGAGCTGCCTAAGAAAACTCCGATAGCAAAACGATCAAAATCCCAACCCAGGCAGAGAGTCAGAGCTGCAGTTTCTGATTTAAGCATTCCCTCACTCTTCCAAGCTTCAGCCACAAGAATAAACCAGGATCCACAGAGCTGCCTAAGAAAACTGCACAGAAAAACCAAAATCCCAAGCAAGTGAGAGAGCTGCAGTTTCTGATTCAACATTCCCTGACTTTTCCAAGCCTTCCTCCCCCATTCCCATCCCAATCTGGGGCAGATGTTCCACCACTGCTCCTTTCATCCTGAGTGACCAAACCACGGCCCCACCTCATTAACCACCTCATCCAAATCCCACCCTGAATAGGAATTTGCATATAGACAAGGCTTTTGCAGCTCATTGATGGCCTCTGAATAACTCCCACACATTCATGAGTTTATGTCTGCCCGTCCCTTTGACACACACAGGATTATTTAGGGTCTGGTGACAAAACAAGGCGTTTTTGGGGGTTCACAGAGATGTTTAGTACGAGCTGGCTTCACCTTTGTGCCTCCTGATCCATTCACTAGGTAACAACCTACAGCTCCTACTTGCAGGTAAGGGTGTTTTAATTGCTTCACAATACTGCTCAGCCTCTATGTCAAAAGGAAAAATACAAATAAAAGCATCAAGACATCATCGTGTGGGCCCGAGGAATGGAGTCTATACCATTAATCAATTATTAATTAGCTCAAGCCTTTTCCCAAACTGTGTGCGTGTCCTCTAAAAAACAAAGCCACATTCTACCAAACTTTTTGAGTGAACTGAAGGTGGGAAACAAGTTCCAACACATCTCAGCTTCCCCTGCACACAGCTTGGCACCACCTCAGAGTCCTCCATGTGTTTAGAAACAACAGAACAGCACAGGTCAAAGGAAACTACAAAAATCCACACCAAGCTGAGTATTCCTCCAGCATCACTAAGTCCTTTTAAAAAAAGGAAGCCAGGCCCTGGATCTTCAGCTGCTATTCAAAGTTCTTCTGTTACCATCAGGCTGAGCTGTTCCAGGGGCAAACAATAGGGGAAGGTCATGCATGGAGAGCTGCAGTGGCACTCGGGGCTTAACCTGTTCCTGGACACCAGAAAATCCTGGAGCAGCAGGGTTTGAAGGGTGCAGCATCGCTGGCAGAGCCCAGTTTAGTGTCCAGAACTCGTGGGAAAAGCAGAGCAGCACCCCAGAGCTTTGCAGAGTGACCTCTGCCAAGATAAACACAGGTAGGAAACATCAGCTCAGCTCTGAGCACAAAAACCTCTGGGAGAAATGGTTGGCGGGGAGCAGAGGGCAAAAAGACAAAAAATTATTCTGAGTTATGTCAATTCCTGCTTCACCCAAAGGTCCAAGTATGGGCGGGTTTGGTGGTCTCATCGTAGAAAATACATTAAATAATTATATATACACATATATAGATGAGAAGTGGAAATGTCAGAGGATGGCAGAAGCCCAGCATGACTTCCCTAATGAAGAAATAATGAAAGCTCAGTGTTTTCAACCTAAAAATAGAGGACCTGGGGACAGCTGTGATCCAATCTAGAAAACCACGAGCAGCACACAGAGATGGACAGGGAGGAGCTGTTTGTCCTCCTGCATCACAACATCACGGATGGAACCAGGCTCCAATCAACACAGAAATCCCTCCCAAAATGCTGGGAACAAAATCGGGTAATAAAGGTTCAAGGAAAGCTGGAAAGACACATGGAAATAGATTGATTATGGCTCTTGCACCCCACTGGATTCAGGGGGCTGAGCTGGAAGTGCCTGGGCATGGAGGAACAGTGCAGGGAGGGGATTTCTCCCACTTTGCCCTCTTGTTGCTCTTCCTCACTCACTCATTTCCAGAAGCCACAGGCTGGATGGACTCTTGGTCTGAACCACCACAGCCACTTTTCCATCCCTAAAATTCAGTTTCTAACACATTTATTTTCAGTCATTTCCTCTGAAAGCCAAGTGACATTGTCAAGGGCCTCAAATAAAAATGTCACTGCAGAACAGAGAGAGTCACATTGAACAGCAAAGAGGTAAAAGTAGGAGGAATTAACTGAATGAAAATCTGGGTGGACACCCTTTAGAAAAATATTATTTCAAATCCTTGTGATTCAAACTAACAACAGTTCTGATACTTGGGGAAAAAAAAAATATTTGAAGCCCTGCCATGGAGTGGCCTCAGCAGATTCACAGATGAGAGGCTGTTAAATCAACACAGAACCTACCAAAAAGAACAGCTTTGTTTGTGTCCCACGTTCCTGCTGCTGTGCATTTCTAGGTGCACTCACAGCTCCATCCAGAGCCTCAGCAGAGCTGCCTCCAACAGCTTTTCCAAGAAGCTGAAAATCTCCACAAATACTTGGACTGCTTCAAAGGCTCTTATTTTGCACCAGGGAAACGAGCTACAACATCTGCACAGAAGTGAGATCATTTTGTCAAGGGACTCTCGAGAAACAAGATGAGGAATGAATGTATCAAAAACATTCTCATCCACACAACTTTTTACAGGACTCTCCTGCTGTTCAGATTACTGATTTTACCTGAACCAAATTGTCCCTACTGCATTTGGCTTCTGCCTTTTACAAAAAATACAGAACAGGGAGCTGCACCTCAGCTGAATTGCCAAGGCAAACTCACTTTGCTGCTGTTTTCATCCTACATTCTATTCTGCACACTAACCATTTCTCAACTGAATATCTTGTATAAACCATCCTGTATATCCCATTTTTCAGCTGAATTTCTTGTACAAACCCAGCTTAGAAAAGCCAGGCCTCTAAGTTCTGCCCAGCACGAATTTCTGAGAACATTTCTCACGTGTTTGCACACTCCACTGACCGTGGCCACAAAAGATGCAGCTTCAGGTGCTGCAGCCAAGCAAGAAGGAGACTGAGCTCAGTTTTCCTCATGCTTAGAACCAAGGATTTAATGGGAGAAGGGGAAGGAGTGGGAGAGCTTCAAATGGACAATAACTTCATGGAGCCTCCTGGTGAAGAGCTGTGTGTCACCTTCTCCCCTCTGAAGGGTCACTGCTTATGAAATTTCCATTTTTGGAAGCAATTCCCACCTTTTCTACTGGTATCAGTGGACAGTCCCAGGAACTACTTTTGCACTGTGCTGAGGATGTGCACAAACAGAAATCCTCAGGAGTAAAAACTCCTCGAGAACGACATCGTGGCATGGGATCACCTGCCCAAATCCCATTCCCAAAATTCTTTGTGAGGTCCAGCAGGATGACCTGGCAGGAGGTTTGGGAACAGGGTTTGGAGCAACCTCCTGAAGTGTCCAGGAGGTCCCACAGAAACAGCCCTGAGCTTTCCACAGGAACACAGCACAAGCTGAAGGAGGAGGTCCAGGATGGAGATCCAAAAAAGCCAAAC